GCGGGTTCGTGTTGGGAGGCGGAATGGCTGCTGTGGAAGACGGAGGACAGCCGGTTGATGATGTTTTCGGCGTCGAACCGCAACTGGAATGGCTAGTGACAACGATTGGAGGTGCTGGGGGAAGGCCTAAGGGCGGCTACCTGCTGTGTGGGAGGTGGTCGGAGCTATGACTATTGCAGGGAAGCTGCAGGAGAGCGGTTGGCGATTCTGAGAGGACAAAAGGGGACTGCAGTAACTTGTGATAGGGTACAGGGAACTTTGACAGCAGGCGGCTGCGAACTGTCTGCAGGTAAGCTGCTGTGGGCTGGGGGCCACCTGGGAAGATCCGCAGAGAGTTGTGACTGAAGGGAGGCTGCAGGAAGTGGAGATTGGTGATCAGGAGAGGAGCAGGGAGGAGCTGGAGCAGTCCTGTAGTGAAGCTGTAGGAGACCTGGTGGCTTTCTGGAAGAGCAGCAGGGACGCGGCACCTGCAAGGAGGAGGTGGAGGATTCTGCGACACTTTGAAATACAAAGGAAGGCATGGAAGCTACCTGCTGAATCGCTGGAATGGCTGGAATGAGAAAGAGCTGCTGGAGGACGGAAAGTGGTCGGAAATATGAAGATAATCACCAGCTTGGATGGGTTACAGCTGGAGTACCTTCATCGTCGTCGGATACAGCCCTAAGGGAAAAACAATCAGCTAGAACTGAAATCAGATCTCATCAATCAACTCCCCAACTCTAGACATAAAAACTTCTTTATATAAAAGAGATTTGACCTAATTAGGAAAAATTAAATTAAGGAAGAGCATAAAATTAGAACTCCGATTTAAGGAAAAGAATCAAATCAGATGTTTGGCTTTTAGGGAAGGTTTTTAATTTAGGACAGTATTTTAGGATGTTTTTGGAATTAGGAAAGGCCTAGGAAGGAATGAAGAAAGGAAAGAAAGGGAAAGGCAAGAGGGAGATTGGAAAAAGGAAAGTAGAATAAGTGGAAGGAGGGGGCAGTGGGCCACCCTCCAAGGGGTGTCCTGTCCAGTACCCCATGCCCGGCAGGCCCCTAGGAGCCCCCGCGTCACTATGTGCCTAATCATTTGCTAATTTTCTTAACTTTTGTCGTTGTTGTGATTAAGTTATTGTTTTAACAGAGATATGTAATCTGCCTTTAAAATGAACACATGATTGAGTAGAGCTTGTGAACCTGACCATAAATTGTTTTTGCAACTAGTGACTATGATAAAGTTCTAGCTTGATAACTTAGAGTTTCATAATACTAAAAATGGTGCATTTACATACGTACCATCCAATTCCTATATATTTACATATCTGACACCTAAACTTTTTCCTTTTACATTTATGCCATCCAAATATCTCATATCACATAAAAAATACCACCATTTTAACTTTTAAAAAGTGTAATATACAATTTCATGCAAATATGTAAATGTTTAAGTTCAGGTATTAGATATGTATATACACCGAAAAAGAGTGGTATGTATGTAAATCTTCCTACTAAAAATGTATAGTTTACTTATGAATCAGGCATTGGCCTAATGGTTCATGCCTTCATTTCTAACATTGAGGTCATGGGTTCGAGCCCTCACTCAGCGGAAATGAGTGGTATGTACGTAGTTCTTCCTATTAGAAACTTGTACTTGTGAATCCGACATTTTGGCCTAATGGTTCATGCCTCCATTTCTACCCTTGATGTCATGGGTTCGTGCCCTTACTCCTATATACAATTATTATATTTTAGGAAAAAAAAAGGAGTGTTTCCATTGTCCCTTGTACCAAAGGGTTCGTTTCTTCTATGTTTCTCTTTGTAACAGGTCTTATTTCTTTTTTTCAAATAAAATATGTGAGGATAGATTACTGTCTTAGAAAAAAAAAAAAACATATGATTTACTTGATATCTTAAAATTGTACAAGAAGAGTATGTTAGACATTGGAATTTTGGTCCATATTGGTGCTTTCCATCTTCCTCATAGGATACCTGTATTGCTGCGGAAGTTCATATCATTGCTTCTGATATGATTTAGGAAGATTTACATGCAATTCACTCAATTCTTATGTATTTAAGTATCTAACACCTAAACTACAATCTTTACATATATGCCACATTAACTATGCATAAAAACATATTTTTCGCTTTCTAAAATTTAAAATAGTGGTATTTTGATGTGATATGAAAGATTTGGGTGGTATAAATGTAAAAATCAATGTTTAGGTATTAATTATGTAAATACATAAGAATTGGGTGGCATGCATGTAAATGCCCCTGTGATTTATTGAGTGGATTTAGTTACTGGCATTGTTGAATAGTATTCCTTGACAATTTATGTTTCTGCCATTGTTGAATATTTCTGGACAATCTCTTGCCTTAAGGAATATAACAAGAGTTTTTATTGAAGTGTCTTTTTTGAGTTTCATTTTATTAGTTTTGTATAACAAAAATTTTGAAACTTTTTAACTTTTCGGGCATTTGCTTTTCTTGCATTTTGCAGTAGTATAACATCTGGCGATAATACTGTGAGGGAGAAAAAGCTTTCAGAGAAAGAAAGGTCAACCCTTGAGGTATAGTTATTTTTTTGATGTTTAAAACAACAACAACAACAACAACAGACATTTATCCCACTAAGTGGGGTCGGCTACATCATGAATCATTTTTCTCCATTCATGAATCATTTTTCTCCATTGCGTCCAATTCAGTGTCATATTTGATTTAATTCTATTAAATTAAGATCATTTTTTATGCAATATGCCCAAGTCTTTTTAAGTCTATCTTTGCCTTTTTTAACATATGTCGAATCTAAAATATCTAACTCTCCTAATCAGATCATCAGATGGTCGATGTTTAATATGACCAAAACAGCTAAGACGACTCTCTCTAATCTTGTCTGCCACTCGTGCTACTCCAACCCTATCACGGATATATTCATTTTGCGTTTTACCTCCAAGTGTTAAGCCACTCATCCACTTAAGCATTCTCCTTTCAACAATACTTAAATTTGTTGTATGGTTCTCTTTTAAAGATTAACATTGCAAGTCTTATCACAATCTTATAAATTTTTTTCTTGTAGTCTAAGCGGTACTTTTCTATCACACAATATCCGATGCATTCCTCCACATAAACCAACCAACTTGAATTCTACTACTAACATCTCCATCTATATCACCATCACTTTGAACAATAGGCCCGAGATATCTAAAATGTTCACACCGTTTAGTGATTTGATCACCCATAGTTACAATTCTGTCATTCGAGCTATTGCTACTAAATTTACATTCCATGTGTTCAGTTTTAGTTCTACTCAAACGAAGGCCTTTAGACTCCAATGTAGACCTCCATAATTCTAGTTTTTTTTGAATTCTTTCTCTAGTCTTATCTGCAAGAAGGATATCATCATCGAAAAGCATGCACCAGGGTACTTCCTCTTGTAAATGTCTAGAAAGAGCGTCCATAACTAAAGCAAAAAGATAAGAGCTTAGAACCAATCCTTGATGTAATCCAACTAAATCCAACTAAAATAGGTAAATAGGTAAATACTTGGTCAATCCTCTTTTTGTTCGAACACAAGTAATAGCTCTAGTATACATATCTTTAATGACTTGAATATAAGTCATAATAACACATTTTTTCTCTAGAACTCTCCAAAGAACTTCTCTTCGAACCTTATCATAAGCTTTTTCTAAATCAACAAAAATCATATTTAGATCCTTTTTATTCTCTCTGTACTTCTCCATCAAATCTCTCAATAAATGTACAACCTCCACAGTAGAGCTGCTCGACTTAAAACCAAACTAATTATGAGAAATCTTTGTAACATATTTTAACCTATATTCAATTACCCTTTCCTATAATTTTAAAGTATGACACATGAACTTAATTTCTATATAATTTGCACACTCTTGTGTATCCCGTTTATTCTTAAAAATAGGGGCTAAATACCATTCAACAATGTCTGTCTCGTAGGTTAAGAAACTCCAAAATCTCCTAAATATTTCCACACTTCAATTTGGATATCATCAATTACTATTGATTTTTTATCATTAGTTTTCTTTTTTAGTAGTGCGACGGTAAAATAAAACATTGAATTATTATTAACTATATTAAGATCACTAAGACCGATCTTATGTTTAGAAACTTTATTGAAAAATTTATCAAAATAGCTCACCCACCTATATTAAATATCCTCCTTTAAGAAAAATACTTTTTGATTTTTATCTTTTTTGCATTTGTGCTAAATATTTAACTTTCTTTTCTTTTTGTTTGGCTAGTTTATACATATATTTTTCATCCTCTTTAGTTTCTAATATACTATAAAGATCACAAATATAATTTTTAGCGTCATAAATTATTCTTTTAGACTCCCTACGGACTACCTTTTATTTTTTCTAGATCTTGAAGCTTTTACATTTAAATTAATTTTTATAAATCAACTTCTTATATTTTATATTTTCTTGCACATTATTATTCCATCACCAACTATTTTTATTTATATAAACTATTCCTTTTGATTCCCCAAGTACATCTTTTGCCACTTGTTTGATAATGTTTGTTGATTTCACACGTAGAATTTGCTTCTTCATGAACATCCCAAATCTTGAAATCTTGAAGTTTACTCATAAAAATAATTTTATTTGTCTTTTAGGTGTCTTCATCTAATTTTATGAAAATGATTTCTAATTTCTTTATCTTACAACTCTTCATTTTAAAATCTAGAACTAATAATCTATGTTGAGTATTTAAATTTTCATTTGGAACGACCTTACAATCTTTACATTCTCAACGATCTCTTATTCTCCTAAAAAAATAATCAATTTGTGTTTTATTATATCCATTCTTATAAGTAATAATATACTCATCTCATTTCTTAAATAAAATATTAGCAATAACAAAATCATATGCTAGAACAAAATCTAATTTGGCTCTACTTTCGTCATTACTCCAAAATCGTAGCGACCATGATTATTTCTAAAATCTTTTGTCACTCTGCCAACATGTCTGTTTAAATCTCCTTCAATAAAATTTTTTTCTTTAAGAGGTATCATTTTTATTAATTCTTCTAGGTAATTTTAAAATTTTTCTTGAGAACCTATATATAAACCTATTTGAGGAGCATAAACATTTATAACATTAAAAATCTTAGTATCAACAATAATCTTAAAGGTCATAATTCTATCTCCAATTATATTGATATTTACAACATCATCAAAAAAAAAAATTCTATCTCCAATTATATTGATATTTACAACATCATAAAAAAAAGAAGAAGAAATATTTATGGTAATGATGGGGAGCCTTTAGCTAGAGATAATTAGCGTTTTAAAGGTGATTCTTTATTCCAATTTCAATTTTAATAGGAGCTAGCTTTTATTTTTGAGAGAAAGGATAGATGAGTTTTATCTTTTATGGGAATTAGGGGGCCGTTCTAAGTGAATGAAAAATTTATTTGTTATAAACAAAATAAAAGATTAAATGGATATGAATACTTTTATATTATTTTAAATTCGGAAACCGTGTTTCTATTATGCTACTACCTAACATGTATTTGGTGCATGAGTGAGATCTATCTGGGATTGCTTGACGGTGTATGAGGATCGATATGACGATTGTTGATATTTGTAGAATAAAAAGGGTAAATATGAGAATCTACAATGATTCAGAAGCGGAAAGCAATGTCTACTGTCTGGAGGGAAAACAAGAAGGAAGAAGAGGCCATCAGTTAACAACCCCCGCCTGCCCAGTTTTCGATGAGTGTTCTACTGAACTGAATTGAAGTTTTGTACCTAGCTTATGTGATAGCCCTAACTCTCACACGTTAAGGTATTATCTGCTTTGGCCTAGTGACCTTACGATTTTTCCCCATGGCGCAACTTTTCCACCTATTTTGGCTCCCAGTTTTATTAGAGAGTGGATAACAAATTATAATGGTTGTTTTTCCGGTGTTATATATTCAAAATCATTAATGAAATTCAGTTTCAATTCTTCTGAAGGAGAATGGTAGATAGAAAGCAATTTCCAAGGGATTTGAGTGGCCTGCCTTTTTTTTTTTTTTGAGAAATTTACATACGTAGCACATAATTCTTATGTATTTACATATCTCTCACCAAAACTTTCATATTTACATACATAGCACTCAGATGCTTTAAACCTATGCATGAAAATGTGTATTTCACTTTGGTGCTTTAAATCTATTTTCATTATGGTATTAAATATTTGAGCGCTGTTTGTAAATGTGAAAGTTTAGGTGTGAGATAAATAAATACATAATGATATGTGTGTTTTGCATGTAAATACTTTATAGGTTGAATGTTATTTGATTAAACAGAGCTTCATTTATACTTAGCATATACAATTAACTTGCTTGTTTTCTGGTCATCCGGTAATAACAGATCTGTGCTTCTTTTCATTTCAGGAATCAGTTCGGCAATTTCAGGAGGCCCTTAGTAAATCGCCCGAAGATCCTACTGCTCTTGAAGTGAGTAATTATGAATATTTTCCCATGATAATGTTCAATCTACTTACTCATATTTTAAAGGGGCATTTACATGTATGCCACCCATTTCTTATGCATTTACATATCTAATGCTTAAACTTTGATTTTTTGCATTAATACCCTCCAAACCACTATTTTTATTAAGGAGTGAGAAGTACACCTTTTCATTTATGGTTAAGTTGACTTATAGCTAAAAATTCAAGTTTTTATGTTAGATATGAAATTATATCGGAATTGAGTGGTATGTGTGTAAATCCTCCAATTACTAATGCTTTTATTGAGTTTTTATTTTTTATTTTTTATTTCTTCTTCATTCCTGTTTTATGCTATTTTCAGGTATCCCAGATGGGTATGCACAGATGCACACCCACACACAAAATCATGGTTTGAAATTATAACATTTTTAGTCATCTTGGAGTAGGATAAGCCGGAGCACCGCCACCTCCTTGTATACAACACTAGAATAGGGAAAACTCCTCACACAAGAAATCTGGAAGTTGAGCATATCAAAAACTAACCTTAAACTTTGAAAACAACAAATAAATAGATCCTACATGAAGGAGGACCAGAAAAGAAAGGAGGAGAGGGCCGGGCGACGGTCTGGCCCAGTCAAAATCCCGCCCTTGGCTGCTTGGCCTGGGTTCACCTTGGTCTGACCCTCAATCGGACCGGTCGGGTTTAGTAGTGGGGAATCCCGTCGCGGGAGGTTGCGTCAGTGCAGGAAGCCCTGCGTCAATTCTTCTTTAAGTCTAAGTGATACTTTAGGCCCGATGCATTTCTCCATTTCAACCATCAAACTTGAATTGGACTAATAGCATCCCCATCTATATCACCATCACTTTGAACAATAAACCCGAGATATCTAAAATGTTCACTTCTTATAATGACTTGATTACCTATTGTTACAACATCGCTACTAGATCTACTACTAGTAAAATTTCATTTCAGTTTTAGATCTACTCAAACACGAGTCTTTAGACTCTAAAGTTGATATTTATAATTCAAGTTTTTTCTGAATGCTTTATATAATCTTATCCACAAGAATGATATCATCAACGAAAAACATGCACCAAGGTACATCCTACTATAAATCTCCAGTAAGAACATTCGTAACTAAAGCAAAATATATGGGTTTAAAGATGATCCTTGACATAATCCAACTGAAATAGGAAAATACTTGATCAATGCTCATTCTGTTTGAATACAAGTATTAGCTCTAGTATACTATCTTTAATGGCTTGAATATAATTCATATCACATCTTTCATTTCTAGAAATCTTCAAAGCACTTTTCTTGGAACCTTATCATAAGCTTTTTGTAATTCAAAAAATCATATGTAGATCCTCCTTATTCTTTAGTAAATTGTACTTCTTCAAATATCTCAATAAATGTATTGCTACCACTATAAACTTGTTCGTTATAAATCTAAAGTGATTTTGAGAATTCATTGTATCACATCTTAACCTATGCTTAATTACTCTTCCATAATTTTAATGTATGACACATTAACTTAGTTATTCTATAATTTGCACACTCTTGTACATCTCCTTTATTGTTAAAAATAGGGACCCAATTATTAATCATTCACTCCTTAGACATATTTTTCGTTTTTAAAATGAAACAAAAATAATGCCAAAAGAGCCCTTAGCATTTGATTAAAAGAATATTTATTTGAATCAAATATCAACTTTTTTGCATTCTCACTAATGTTTTTACTGGTTGAATTGATCTTAACAGGTTACATTTTTCTTCTAATGCAATCTATTTCATTTAATCTTACATATAGTTGTCGATCCAATTGAAGCAAGCAAAAGATGTCTTGGTTTTACTTGTTTATGCGCATGAAAGACCTGATCAAATCTTTTTCTATGCTACTTTTGAGTTCATTTAGTGTATAACCAGATAATTAAGTTATGGAAATGTGATTTTACTCTTTTAGATAAACCTTCCTTAGCTCATGAAAGTTTCATGGGGCATGATATATTCTACATAAGATATTTCAATCTTATTCGCCCTACCTACTCATGCTAGTTTTTTGTTCTTATTGTTATGTTTAATTTTGTGTAAGACTGGGTAATATAATATTTCAGTGTCATAATCACATAATTATATGTATAAAAAGTTATATTTCACTTCAACAAAGTCAGTATTACTGATATTTTTTATGTGATATGAAAGATTTAAATATGATATTTGTGAAGTAAGGTTGAGAAATAATATTATCTTATTTCTTAATTATCAAATTACAACCCTCCTCCTTATATAATGAGTAAAGGCTAGGACAAACTTAATTCCTAGTATTACAACTTATCAAAGACACAACAACCAACTAACAATAGGAAAGAAATACAACATAGTAAAAAAAGAATACATGAGAATAAATCTAAAATAGGAAACTCAGAAGTCCACAGTCCCCCTCAAGCTAGGTCATAGATGTTGTAAAGACCTAGCTTGGTATTTAAATCAGTGAAGCTGCCTGGAGGTAAAAATTTCATGAATAAATCAACTTGAAGAAGAGTTGGAATGTAGATTAAGTGAATAATACTTCCATTGACCTTCTCTGAGATAAAATGTCTATCAAATCTCAATACGCTTAGTCCTATCATGATGCACAAGTTTCTTTTCACTATTGAAGGCGGCTTGGCTGTCACAGAACATCTTTAGGGATTGGCCGTGGAGTATTCCAACTCATTTAGTAATTTTTGGATCTACATTCCTTCACAAATTATCAAAACAAGTGTCTGATACTCATATTCTGTACTACTTCTAGGGACCACTTCTTGCTTCTTGCTCAACAAGATTTTTGTAGACAAAAGAATAATACCCAGAGGTCGATCTTCTGTCCGTGAGTTCTTCTGTTCAATTAGCATCAATGTAAATTTCTACCTCATTGTTTTCATATTATTTAAGCAGTAACCCTCTGTTAAGATCTTCTTAAGAGATCTCAATATTTTGTACACCTTCTTGAAATGTTCTTTATTTGGACTATTCATGTGTTGCCTCACTATGCCGACAGAGTAAGCAATATTGAGTCTAGTGTGTGAGAAATATGTAAACTTACTCACGAATCTTTGATATCTACTTTTTTATTGGTATCTTTTATCCCCTTGTATGTAACTTTTTGTTTAAATTCGTAGGATCTCAGCGGGTTTACATTCTAACTTTCATGTTTCTTTTAATAGGTCTAGAATATACTTTCTCTGGGATATCACCTTACCCGTCTTGGACCTGACCACTTCCATGGCTAGAAAGTATCATCGTTACGAAGTCCTTCAAATTCAGTAGCAAGAACCTCCTTAATCTTCCCAATCTCTTTTTCATAACATATCAGGATCATATTATTTGCATAAACAATGAGTATGACTTTCTTACTTTCTTGTGCATGTTTATGAACAATGTATGATCGACATGGTATCATATGTAACCATTAGATTTTTATAGTCTTGATATACTTGTCAAACCAAGTCTTAGGAGATTGTTTGAGGCCATAAAATGACTTTCTTAGTTTACAAATTTGATATTTATTTTGAGTTATTTTTCAGTCCCAGTAAGATCTCCATATACACTTCTTTCTCAAGGTCTCCATTCAATAATGCATTCTTGTTATCGAGTTGATATAGTTCACACTCTTTGTTCACTGTTCACTACAAGGAAAGAAAAATCCTTACATCGTTTAACTTGGCTACTGGAACAAATTCTTTTTGATAGTCTTTATCCCATAAGACTAAGTAAACTCTTTGGCCACCAACCCAGCCTTGAACCTCTTACTACTCCTGTTTATTTTGTACTTGAGATTGAACACCATTTGAATGCAACAGGTCTTTTATCTAGAGATAGCTTCACAAGGGTCCATGTGCCATTTAAATCTAGTGCTTGGATATCTTATTCAACAACCTTTTTTCATTCTAGACTTTGAAATGTTTCATGAATGAACTTGGCTATTTGTACACTATCAAGATTATATACTAATAATTTATAAATTGATAATTTCCCATAGGTAACATATTCCTGTATAGGATAATTTGTGCAACTTCTCATGTCTTCTCTACTGGATTCCACCTCCCTTGAAACCTCAAAGATGTGTGAATTCAGGTTTGATTTTGAACTGCCCTGTGGTTGCATACTTTGTCTTTGTCATTGGATTTCTTTCTTCTAGCATGTACACAAAGTTCTTTGTTATCAATCCCAGGTTAGATATTCTCAACTGGCGAAACTTGAGATATGATGATTAAAGGGAAGGAAAATTTGTTGTAATGTCTCTAGATCAGTGTGGGTATCCGAAGTAGTGTCCCAAGTCAGATTATTCACCCGAACTCACCCCTTGAATATCGGATTTCTGGTAATAGGGTTAATTTTCAAATAAGATAACATTCATAGAGTTTTATTATTATTTTTTTTAATGGGGGAATAACATTTTTCCCCTTTTTTATTAAAAGTATGCTCAAGGAAACTACATTTTGGTGGATTTGTGGTCAAGTTTTGTACAATTTGGTTGGTGAATGTGAACAAAAGAGACAACCAAATATTTTTAGGGGAAGGTTGGATGAGAATGCTCAGAATAAGGGTATTTTTCTATCATAATATTGAGAGGGGCTCTATATCCAAGGATCCCATATGGAATTCTAGTAATAAAATAAGTGGTTGTGTGCACAACATCTCCCCAGAAAAATTTTTTGGGACATTGCTAGAAAGCATTATAGATTTAGATACTTTAAGGAAATGAGATACTTTGAGGAAATGTTTATTCTTCCTCTAAGTTATCTCATTTTGTTGTGGAGTTTCAATTCAGGAACTCACATGGATGATATCATTTTTGTAAGGTAGGGTCCAAGGACAGAGTTGAAGTATTCCCTTACATTAGTTTTGAGAATCTAAATTTTGCATTGGAATTAAGTGAAAATCATGTTATGGAAGGACTGAAAGATTTGTGTAGTTTCAGATCTTTTCTTCATGTGAAACATCCAGCCAATTTTAGTGTGATGTTATGGAAGGACTGAAAGATTTGTGTAGTTTCAAATCTTTTCTTCATGTGAAACGTCCAGCCAATTTTAGTGTGGTTGGTTATCAATAAAGAAAACAAATTATCTGTCTCCATTGACGGTTTTCAAATTTGATAATAGAGAAAGAATGTGAGTGTTTGTACAGGTATAGAGAATAGATATGGGGAATATGTTTAGCCAATTAACAGGTTTCACTTTGATAAAATTCTGATTTTTTATTAATAAAAATATGATATAGGTTTGCAACATATTGAAAAGTGTGATGATCCAGACGACAATATCATAATAAAATTTGAATTTCAATAATCTCAGACACAACAAACTCAGGAAAATAAGAAGTGAAAAGTGGAGAAGACATTTGTGTGTTAAGATAATAACTCTCTTTGAGCAGGTTTAGACCTTGATACGGTTCAACACTGCTAATCACCTTCCTAGAACCACTTGAAATTCATAAGAAATAAATTGAACTTTAGTAATACACTTCAAGCCATGAGTAAGTTTGCTAATTAAAAGTAAGTTACAATCTAATTGGGGAATATAAATCACTAGAGGGTTAAATTTTTTTCATAAACTTTCACTTCTCCTTTCTCAACAATTCTGGAGTTAGATCCATCAGCAAGTCCCAAATTTGGAGTCAGTGAACTTTTGTTAGTTGGTGAGAGCATGAATATCTCTAGTCATATGATCAAAAGCACCCGAATCTATTATCTAAGGTTGAAATCTTCCATTATTAGCGAGATAGGAGGGCATGATACCTTGGTGTATCATGAACCAGGTAGGCCGCTCAGTTGTGTACGAAAGAAGTTCTTCAACACCTACAACTGTTTCTTGGGAAGGGGCTAGGGTCAATCGACTCTTCATAAAAGGTTGCAGCACGGGCATTGTTGTATTGGTCTTTTCTCCTTTGCTCAGGTTTTCAATTTGCATATTTTCCATGTAGTTTTCAACACTTGTCTTTTGTGTGACCAAGTTTCATACAATCTTCATAGAGGGATGATCTTTTTTGGCTTTGACTCATGGGAGGAGTTGTATGTGTGCAAGGTGGAACTTTTAGTGCTAGATGAATTCACACTTTCTGCCATCACGAGCTTCTTCTGACTTTCTTCTCTTATGACTTCAACAAAGACTTTCCTCGTGGTAAGGAGAAACTTTATCCCCATGATTTTTCCCACGACCTCATCTAAGTTCTTATTTAAACCCGATAAGAATTTGAGCATCCTCTTTTTCTCCACTATTATTTTATACAACTTTGCATCTTGAGGGCACTTCTATACATTATCATTATGCATATCTAACTGCAATCAATACTTTGTGAGTGTGTTGAAGTATTGAGTCACATTTAAATCTTCGCGGCGGAGCTCATGCAATTTGATCTCAATCTCAAACAATTATGTAGTGTTTTCAGTATTGGAATAAGTCTCATGTGATGTTTTATAAAGCAAGAATTTTTCTTAATTCTTTGCGGTCATTAAAGTGATCAACCAAAACTTGATCATGTGATCCTGAAGCTTCCATAAACGATAGTTATGCTCAGTAAGCTCAGGAACTGCCATCTCTTGTGAGATATTTCTCTTTTTCTTTGCCAAAATAAACATAAACACAGATTGTGACCATTGAAGGAAGTTATGACAATTGAATTTATGGTTTGTGACAAAGTGAGAGACTTCTGGGGTGGTTTGGGCAGAATTTCTGGTCTATAATTCATAAGTAACCTCCAGAGTAGAGCTAAACATCTGGCTGCTGCTGCTACTGAACAAAATCGACTGCTGTTAGGAGGTAGATGAAGGCCAACTATTTCTTTTGCAAGAAGGTCGACTATTGCTTTTGCAAGGTCGGTTATTGCTTTGCAACCAAGAAACTTAGGAGGATTTTTGGGGAGAAGAGGCCTGCATCAGGATGGATTCTACGGAGTAGGGCCTGCAGCAGGATGGATCTTGTGGAGGAGAAACTGCAGGGAAGGTTCTAGCTGTTGGACGACTGTTGAAGAGGATTCAACGGTTATAGGAAGTAGATGAGGGCTTGCATATTGGCTGAAGGGATTCCGACGATTGCAAGGAGGATATCGTTCGAACAGAGCCTGCGACTCATCCGTACAAGAGAAACAAGTGAAGCTTGCGACTTGTGCCCTACGATCGTGCGAGCTTGTTCTGTCTTCTATGAACCGATTGGTCATAAGGGGGATGTAAGGGCTTCTGCTTCTAGACCACACACACATAGGAAGGAGACAAATGACCCCGAAGTACGTCCCAAATGAAACCGAAGGAGGTTAATGTCGAAGATAAACAACGCCGACGGGAACGATCTGACGAGGCTCTGTTACTATGAAGAAAGGTGGAGAAATAATCTTTTCTTATTTCTTAATTACCAAATTACAACCTTCTCCTTATATAATAAGTAAAGGCTATGGCAAATTTAGTTCTTACCATTACAACTTTCCACGGACATAGCAATCTCCAAAAGGAGAGAAACACAATATAATAATATAGGAATAAACGAGAATAAATTTAAAATAGGGAAACTAAGATTTCCACAATTAGTAAATATTAAAGTTTGGATGCTAGATATGTAAATTTTCATATTTTTCTTATTGCATTCTTCTACTTCAATTTTCCTTTAATAGTCCTGCAGGGAGCAGCAGTTACATTGGTAGAACTAGGAGAATATCAAAGAGCATCAGCTCTTCTTGAAAAGCTAATCAAGGTTTGTCTATAAATTTTTTCCTTTTTTAATGCCTTTATATTTAAATTTTATTGGAGAATGATACTGATGAGTTGAATGTTAGATTTTGATACCTATTTTGAATAAATTCGTTTGATTTCAGGAAAAGCCTGAAAGTGTTGATGCATATCGCTTACTAGGTGAAGTAAAATATGAGCTGAAAGATTTTGAGGGGAGTGCTTCAGCCTATAGAAGTTGCTTATCAGTAAGTATGGTGCTCAAATAGTTTAAATTTCACCTTTATGGTACCTTGGAATTTCTTACAAATAACAAGCAAGTAATCATTTAAGGAAATTTATGTGCAAATGGAACTCCAATTTTTTATATTATATTCTTATAGTGTCTCCATGAACTTCTGTTATGAGCATGTTTATTATTGCTTTCTTCTCTCTTTATTTATTTATTTATTTATTTGTTTTTTTGCAGATTTCTAAGAGCTTGGATTTTGATGTTCTTCGCGGGCTTACAAATGTACTGCTTGCTGCTAAGAAACCTGATGATGTGAGTGTTAGCTCTTGCTTTTAGTTGGCTTTCATTCATTTTAACAGGCTTATATATCATCACGGACGATTTGCATAAATACCACTCAATTCCTTTGTATTTACATATTTAGCACTTAAGCTGCAATTTTTACAGGCATAACACCTTTCCTGTAATAACTATATAAAAACGCGGAAAAGGTGTATTTCACTTCTTAAAAGTTAAATGGTTACATTTTTAATGTGATATGAAAGATTTGGGTGGTAAAAATGTAAAAAGTAAACTTTAGGTGTTAGACATATAAATAGATTGGAATTGGGTGGTATGTATGTAAATGCCCCTCATTGATGAAGGCGAAGCTCCCTGCCATCAAGTTATGTGCCAAGCGGTAGTTCTGATCTGTGTTGCTCGAGTAAGCCGTGATTATATAATTGGTAATTTGATGTAATTTGAGCGATGAATAAATTGGTTTGTTAACATTAATGATAATTAATAAGGATCATTGTGAAAAGTGTGATTAGTGGATGAACTGGGTCTGAAGTATTGTTGCTGCGCTTTTCGATAGATACTCCATCAAATTAAATTCTAGTGGTTTTTACATACATAGCACACAATTCTTATGTATTTATATATCACAACTTTAAACTTTCATATTTACAACATAGCACTCAAATATTTGATATCACATAAAAAATCGTATTATTTCCACTTTTTAAAAGTCTAATACACCTTTTCATGCATAGGCTTAAAGCGCCGTGGTGCTATGTATGTAAATATGAAAGTTTGCATGCGAGATATGTAAATAAATAAGACTTGTGTGCTAGGTATGTAAATTTCCCTAAATTTAATGTCTAGTGTTTTTGTAATATTATTTAGGATATAGGTGGTGTTTAGTACCATGAATGATGAAAACTAAGTTTATTTTGATTTATTTATCATGGATTCCATTCTTTTAATGTAAATCATCTTAATTGGAGTTGGGTGCAGGGTGTATTATTCTTGTTCTGGCCAACACTGATTTTTAATTATATTTAGTTGAATTGTTTTGCCTGATGGAAGCATATTCAGGTTCAATTTCTGATGTAAGTTTTATTTATGTTTCTAAAGATATTTCTTGGCATCTTTTGTGTCATGTAGGCTGTTCAAGTTCTTTTGTCATTGCGAGAAAATATAAATGATGCTGAAAACATTGGTCTAAAAGATTCAACAACTCAATTGAATGATGTGGACAGAAAGAGCAAGGGGGTTGACCCTATACAAGTTAGTTGCTTCCCCTTCATGGAAATTTAATTTAGGGAAATTTACATACCTAGCACACAATTCTTATGTATTTACATGTCTCACAGATAAATTTTCATATTGACATACACAACACCTTGGTGCTTTAAACCTTTGTATGAAAGGTGCATTTAACTTTTAAAAAGTGGCAATATTGCTATTTTTTTATTTGATATTAAAGATTTGAGTGCTGAGTGTATAATTATGAAAGTTTTGGTGTGAGAAATGTAAATACATAAGAATTGCATGCAATGTATGTAAATGGCCCTTTAATTTATCATTGTGCAAATGTATTTCCAAGTTTACTTTTGTCTTTATAATTTAAACATTTATGCTATTGTTGGTCATAAAAATTATTCTTGAAATTTTGGTTTCGATCAAGCACAAGCTCAAGTTTGAGTTAACACTAAATAAACATTTTTATAGATGATAGATTAAGGAAGCATTCTATATCTTAAAACAAATATTTACTCATTGAGTAATCTATTATACACCTTATTCATTACACATTATTCTAAATACCATCCTGATGAAAATGGAGTTTCTGGCTACTTACACGAGCCCATGTTAATATTGCTCTGGTTGTTCCGGTTTTCTTTGAAGTTTGAATACTAGGGATCGTTTTCCTTGTTACATATGAGTGTAAACATGAATGTTTAGGTGTTAGTTATGTAAATACATAAGAATTGTGTGGTATATATTTAAGTGGTAAGGTAGAAGAGACTCCTGGCAAATGAAAGACTTTACTTTCCAAATGAACTTGGAAAGACCATGGTAGTCACACCCTTCTTTTCAAAGAAATTTTGATCTCCATCAGCAATCTTTTGAACAATCTTTAGTTTCCATTCTATAGGCTTTAGCATTTGCATATAATCACATTTTTTGTTACCTATATTATGCTTCTTCTCTCTCTTTTAGAGTCCGTGGTCCTTCAGAAAGGAATATTTTTGCATGGGGTCATTTTAGTCTTGTAGTTCTTCAAAGTGCCAAATTAGTCCCCATACTCTTTTAATATGAGTTGAAATAGTTTTCAAAGAGGACTATTTTTGCTCCCTTCAGAGTAGTCTATCTAGGGACTAAATTGTCATTTTTACAAACTCGGGGGCTAAAATGACCCTCTGCAAAAGATTCAAGGACCATTTTGACACTTTTCTCCTAAACAATATTTTACTATTAATACTAAAAACTTCTTTTTTTTTCTATGGTTAACTTGACAATGTTCTGCTGTCACTAAGTTCTAGTATAAAAAGCAATAGAATGATTTATGAGTCTCTTCTTGTTTTCTTCCTCTTCAGGTTGAGCTGCTCCTTGGAAAGGCATACTCTGATTGGGATCACGTCAGCGATGCTGTAGCTGTTTATGATCAACTCATTTCTAAGTACCCAAATGATTTCCGGGGTTACTTGGCAAAGGTCCATTCCATGCACTGCTATAATTTTGTTTTCAATATATATATATATATATATATATATATGGAAGATTGACATACATATCGCTCAATTCTGATGTATTACATATCTGACACCTGAACTTTATTTTTTACATATGTTACCTTCCCTATGCATGAAAATTGCATATTTCATTTTTTAAATATTGAAATAGTGATGATTTTGATGTGATATGAAAGTATGAGTGGTGTAACTGTAAAAAGTGTCACAATGGTCCCCTGACTTTTTACAGGAGGTCATTTTAGGCTTTAGAGTCTATAAATGTGTCAATTTAATCTCAGGACTCTTTTAATGGGGGCTAAAATAATCCTCCCCGGGATTATTTCAACCCATATTAAGGGATTATGAAAACTGATTTGACACTTTTACAGAGTTTGGGACTAAAATGACTTCATGTAATTAATCAGAGGACTATTATGACACTTTATTTGTAAAAAAGTTATTAACAAGATACGGAGAAATTGCAAGTTTAAGGAACTAAATCCTTTGATACATAAAAAACTATAAAATGACTCATTTGGATCTCCTAACTTGTGGGAGTTGCAATAAATTTTTTTTATTCCTGCTTACCTTGATAAATAGAATTGAAAATCTCGCTGAAAAAAATTCTTGAAGAGCTTCGGATCTTGATGATCATGTTGACGTAGTTGTATTGTGACAATAAAACTGCTATAAGGATTGCAGAAAATCCAATGCAATCTGATCGCACAAAGCATATGGAAATTAACGACACATCATAAAAGAGAAGATTAGTTTTGGAGCTATTTGTTTGCCTTTTATCTTGATCGTGCAACAAATAGCAGATATATTTACCAAAGAACTTCTCAGGCTTAGTTGTGAGTTTTTTTTAAGCAAGTTGGGCATGATAAATATCTATACTCCAACTTGAGAGGGATGCGAATTTTTAGGAAGTCCTAATTTTAGTATCTTCTATTTGTAGTATTTTCTATTTTTAGAATGTATATTGTTTGCTAATTTTTATTTTTGTTTCCTTTTCATAGAATGTGGATTTTCTGGTTGATTTTGTGGCTTTCCAAATTTCTTGATCTTCCCTTGCTATTTATCTTGTAAATGTGTTTTATGAAATTGAGGAGGAATAATAATTATTTTTTTTCTTCCCTAAAAATTACAGAAAAGCTCTTAACATTTACTAATTATAACACCCTCTTATAAGTTTATGATTGTTTTTAATATTTTTAAAACAATCTTTTGGGAGAGTTTTGCATATTTTTCATGGAAGATTTGCATACATACCACTCAATTACTATGTATTTACATATTTGACACATAAACTTCAATTTTTACGTATATTCCACCTTAACTATACATGAAAAGGTGTATATTACTATTTAAAAGTTAAAATGGTGATATTTTTTATGTGATATAAAATATCTGGGTGGCATAAATGTAAAAAGTAAAGTTTAATTGCTAGATGCATAAATACTTGGGAATTGGTTGGTATGTATGTAATGCCCCATTTTCTTATATTCAGGTGATCTCTGAAGTATATATATATATATAGATGTTTCTGAAAATTTATAGTAAATAAATTGATCTTTAACAATTTTGATCATCCATGGTTTAGAATCTCTTCATTTTCAGCTTTTCTTTTGAATTCAAAGTTTTTTTAATATATCTGTTTCTTTTAATATTTTCATTTTTCTAACTAATCGTTATTTTATTTCCTCTGTGATTTGAGCTTTTATAGATTAAAATGTTCTAAAAATTTACTTGGGTGCTTTGTTAGGGAATTATTTTGAAAGAAAATGGCAAAGTTGGAGATGCAGAAAGGATGTTCATCCAGGCATGTCTTCCTTTGGCTTATCTGCAATTACATTTTTAACCTATATTTTTTTATTTACTTATATAACCTTCCATATTTTGTAAAATTTAGTGCCTACTAAAATACACCAAGAATTTTTGCGTTTTTATTGGCGTTAGCACCATTCTGGGGTTCCTGAAAAGTGTACAAGGGCCAAGTAAGTGTTGGGGATGTTTGTAGGATGGTAATAAGAGAATACTAAAGGGAAATGGTGATGATTTGGAGGGGGGAAGAAGCAATCAACTGCGGCCAGGGGAAGAAAACAACAGCAACTCGGCTGTTCGGCAAAGTTGGTGAGGGTAGGGGGATGTAATTAACCGAGCTTGAGCGAGTTCAGTGTCTATTCGTGTTTTGCTCATTTGAAAATTTTTTACTCAAAATAGGCTCAAGAATAACATGTTCATGTTTAACTCGATTCGAATTCGTTTGTTCGTGGTAGCTTGTGTTTAAGCTCGAAATTGGCTCGATTGATTTAAAAGATAATGAAATTTAATATTATTATTTATTTAATTTTTTACATGAGTATTCATATATAACACCTAAAGTTTGATATTTACATTTATACACATCGGTATCATGAATCTGTGCATGAAAAGGTGTTTTTCATTTTTAAAAGTTAGTGAAAATGGTATTTTTAATGTGATGTTTATAATTGGAGTGCCATTTATGTAAATATGAAAGTTTAGCTGTTAGATATGTAAATACATAAGAATTGTGTGATATGTATGTAAATGTCCTCATGATTCCATTCATTTTACTTCTAAAAAAAAATGCAATTGTAATCTTGTTTTATCCAGAATATATATATATATATATATATATATTCTCAATCAAAACCATTTTCTTGTTTAACTTTTTTTTAATTAAATATTTCATAACATTTGTATCTGAATATTTGATCTTCATTAAGTAGCAGGCAAGGTTCTTTGCTCCAGAGAAGGCAAAGGCACTTGTTGACAGGTATGCAAGGCAATGAATTCAGCCTCCAATAATAACAGACTTATGACCATCTATCCAAAGGTAAAATCTAAATGCTTTTCTTTATTTCCTTCAAAATTAGTGCAAACTAAAGGATGCAAATTTTATTTATTTGTTTGTTTGTTCATAGAATCAGTGTTATAGCATTTATTTTGGCAGATTTTGAATTAGTTTGCATTATATTTTATATATTTGAAACCATGCTGCATCTAATTTTTTTAGCACTTTCAAGTTTTAAGTGATGGAGCATCATTATCAAGGAAGAATTTTCTATATAAACATTTAAGAAAATAAAACTAATGAAGAGGCATTTTGAAACATATATTATCAAAGGGAGCACTAGATAACTTCCTCTTTGGTTTAGTATGTACTAGGGCTATAAACGAGCAGCTCAGGCTTGCTCGCGTTCTAGTCGTTGGTATTTGACTTGTGCTCGAAATTGCTCATGAACAGTATTTTTTGTGTTCGGCTCGAAATTGACTTGTTAAAATTACTTAGAAAAATCAAAACTGCACCAATTTTATGCAATAGAAGGCACAAAATCATATTACCATTCGAAATATTAAGATTCAAACTTTGATATAAAATATTATTATGCAAATAATGTGTATACTCTGAGCACGATCAAACAAAGAGTTTTTTGAATTTGGATTGAAATTGGTTTACTAAAATTAATTAGAAAAAAATAGATGTTGAGTGTTGGATTCAAACCTGCACCAATTTTGTGCAATAGAAGGTACATATTCATATAATCGCACGAGATATTATGGTTTAAATTTAGATATAAATAATATAAATATATATAATATGATTATATAAATAAAATATATAATTTCTTTATTTCGAGTTAAAACGAGCCGAACACGGTTGAACTAAGGGTTGTTCGTATTCGGTTTGTTTATAATTCGAGCTTAAAAATTTTGTTCGTCTTCAACTTGTTTATTTAATCACCGATTCAAGCATAAGTTATTCAACAAGCCAAACACGAAACAGTTTGTGAGTGAGCTTTTCTGACATCTCTAGTATATGCAATAGTACATTGATCCTAATTTCTTCATGTTTAGAAGGTTTAGATCATGAATGTGATTGATAGATATGGATAAAATATTTATTTCATGGTAAGTTGCATAAACGTTATAACTCATTTAAAGAAGTAATACATTATCTTTAAATGTTTCGAATATGTGTTAAACGATTGAAAGAAATGTGACGATCATCAAATGAAATGAACGAATGTTATCAAAGGAGTCGTCGTCTTATGATATTACTTGGGACGTTATTATACCGGTGCACGAAAATGAAATCGAAAAAAAGAAATGAAAGATATTGTATTTTGATGGTTCTCCTGATATAACTCACTAAATACAATGTAAATGCAGGAATCAAAAAGATTTCTAAATATAAGAAGTGTAAATGTGTGAAAGCCTTGTTAAATATTAAAGATCAATAAATGATAATTTTAAACTTTAACACTTATTAGAGCATATGCATAATGATTAGTAAATATATAAACTATAAATATTCGCTAAGTTAATGTTAAAATATTTTCTGTTGATTAAAAGTTTACTTCAAAAAAAATTCCATTGAATTAGAAGTACTGACATGAAAGAGTATGTCTATAGAAGCAGATCAAATGAAAAGAAGTATAACATAGTGCGAATAGTGTTGCTTTATATTTAATTCTTTTCTTCGTAGTACTATCACACACTAGAAATATTGTCATTATCGGTCTTAAGCCCGGATGTAAAAAATGGAGGGTTGCGTTAGGTCAGCCAACGTAAAACTCGGCGAAAAATCATGACACTGTCACACACTTGATGTTCTTATTTCTTTGGTTTGAATAATATTTTACATATTTTGGTTTTAGCGACTCATTTATGATTGGATTTTATTGTGGAATGTCATATATATATTCAAATTGTGTATTGTTATTGCCTGATCTTTTTCTGTCTTAGAAATCCAAGCTTTTAGGTTGGATCGAGATACTAAATTTTGTTTTACAAAAATTTTTAAAATAGTTGAGTGTGTGTTTGTGTGTCGTGGCCTGTTGTTATATCAGCCTCTCTGAAGATCATAACTCCCCTCAGGTCATGGGTTCAAATTTTTCCTTGGCCATAACACGAAAATAAAAGGGGACTTACTGTTCACAGAAGAGGTATCGCATGCATCAATTTATGTTTCTTCGCGGCGTTGGCTTACGGTAATAGCCAACAAGGGGATTCGCAGGTTCCTCCCTCTTTTTGTTCTTTCTTCTTGTGGAGGTGAGTGAGGCAGAGATAGAGAGAAGGTGAGGAGAGAGATAGGAAGAGAGAGAGAGAGAGCTATTCTTGTAATCGCCGAAACTATCGACGGTTTGTAATTCTTAAAACAATAAAATCCTCTGTAACTCGTGTGGACGTAAACAATTTGTCGAACCACTTAAATCTGCGTGTTGTATTGTTTCGTGATTTTTTTTCGTTCTATTTTTTCATTTTATTGCCGTTATTATTTTTTTTTTTTTGCAAGAGTATCGAGGTACTATATATTTTTGAGGCTACTTTGGTTCTCTATGTTTCAATGCAGTTCAAGTGGGTCCCACAACTGTCCTGTGATGGTTGCCTGTCTTCAGCAAATGCCTTGAGCCAGTACATGCACATGCCTGCTGTTGCTTGTCTGCAACACATGTCTTCAGCCACTGCATGCACATGGCAGCCTCGAGTCAATAATTACTGCAACATGCGTTATTCCTCTGTCCTCTGTATTGAAGGATGTCAGTTTGGTCGTCTCAGGAGATGTTTGGCGGCATAGTTTTAATTGGTTTTTGAAAATTGAATTCAACGCTCCGTTAAATAAAAATTTCTCGCATTTCATATTTATTTCTTTCGTTCCATCTCTTTTTCGATGTAAATTTTGTCTCTTTTACGGCATAAATTGTATTTGATCAGTTTCGATTGATTGATTTTCAAAGTGGTCAAATAGATTGCAATTGAAATTCAGATTCGATTTTCGATCGAAATTTTGATTAAATCGAACCAACCGAACCTTGTTTCGTGATTTTTTTTCGTTCTATTTTTTCATTTTATTGCCGTTATTATTTTTTTTTTTTTGCAAGAGTATCGAGGTACTATATATTTTTGAGGCTACTTTGGTTCTCTATGTTTCAATGCAGTTCAAGTGGGTCCCACAACTGTCCTGTGATGGTTGCCTGTCTTCAGCAAATGCCTTGAGCCAGTACATGCACATGCCTGCTGTTGCTTGTCTGCAACACATGTCTTCAGCCACTGCATGCAACATGCGTTATTCCTCTGTCCTCTGTATTGAAGGATGTCAGTTTGGTCGTCTCAGGAGATGTTTGGCGGCATAGTTTTAATTGGTTTTTGAAAATTGAATTCAACGCTCCGTTAAATAAAAATTTCTCGCATTTCATATTTATTTCTTTCGTTCCATCTCTTTTTCGATGTAAATTCCGTCTCTTTTACGACATAAATTGTATTTGATCAGTTTCGATTGATAGATTTTCAAAGTGGTCAAATAGATTGCAATTGAAAATCAGATTCGGAAAAATCGAATCGATCGAAATTTTGATTAAATCGGACCAACCGAACTGAAATTTAATTTGATTTAAACGGCATTATCATGATCAAGCCAAGTTTAGTTATTTATGCGAGCAGGCTGTAAACAAATGTTATGAATCATTAGATTCATGAATCATATGTTTATTTCAATTAAATATTGCATAAAATAAAAAAAAAAATTGACTTTTTTATTTGTTCGATTAAACAATAATAAAAATTTTAATTAAATTTTAGATTTTGATTTGTTCAATTAAATAAAAATTAAAAATTTATCACAAATTGAAAATCGAATATTAAAACTTTAAAAATTAAAAATTTAAACATATATTTTAAACCAAACCAAAATAACTAAAATACTATCAATTTATCATTATCAATTTAGAATACGAGAAAATATTCCGTCAAGACATCTCATGTCTGGACGGTCAATCATCGGGCGTCACATCGACATAAACCTAATCAGCAGGTCATGTGACGCCCAATAGTTGGCCGTCCATACGCGTAGAAGTCCGGACGAAATATTTTCATAGAGTAGAGACACACTATAGACCTACCAAACTATCCATTGTGAGTCTACATATTATTATTTTATAAAATTTCTTCCTTGGTAAACTCTAAACCTATATATTATCATTACCATTCATATGGTTAATATACTAATGGCATACTAAACCTTCCACTAATCCAACAAATTTTATTTTAATGAATGATATGCATCGAAGTGCAAATATTAATTAGTGTGAAATGACAATCAATGGATAATAATGATGAAATGATACATTATTTTATTATAGTTAAAAATCTCAATTTTTTTTAATAAAAAATATTTAAAATTAAAAGACATTATTACATGCTATATATTTAACATCTAAATTTTCATAGTTATATTTATAAAAATTAATGTTTTAACATCACATCCATAATATCTTCATTATTATCTTTTTAAAAGTAAAATTGTACGTGAGAAAATGTGCCAACGTGATCCCGAGGAGATCAACTGTCAAGGAGAGAGAAAGAACGACAAAGTAGGGCTCACCGACAGGGGACCAAAAGTACCATTTGTTCGATCGGATGTAGCCATCGAGCCAAGGTTGAAAACCGATCGAGCAAGAAATAGGACAAAAAGAACAAGCAAAAAATTTGAGTTTGAACTAATTGAACTAAAGTAAACCATATAAGTTATGAGCTAACTATTACAAGAAAGTCGAGTAAGTGCATTGTCTTACCTTCTAGTAGATTCTAATAAAAAAAAAAGTCAAGTTCCTCAATATCAACAAACGTCTTATGAATCCTCCTCATCTAAGACAAATAACAGCAGTTTAACTTAGTCGATCGGATCAGCCTCACTGAGCTGAAATCAAACAAGCTCAACAAATCGAGTTAAAGAGCAGGCGAGTAATAAACTCATATAATAAAAATATGTACAACCCCCATTAAAACAGGGGCATAAATGTACTATCACTATATTGCACCTTCTTCCCTATAAATAGATATCATTTTATGACAGAGGGCTCAGAGACAAGACATTTTATTGTTCACTATTTCCCACCTCTCTCTCTATTCATTGGTTGTGATTCACCGACAAATCAAAATTCATCAAAAATATATTTTTTTTGATGCATATGTTTATGAGATGATAGTATTATAAGTGTAAATATCAAATTTGATACGTTAGATATCTAAATACACAAGAATTGTGTGGTACATATGTAAATCTCTGTTAAAAAAAAGGAACTAGTTGTAAAGCATAAAAGATATGAGGCGGTTGTTGATGGCACATCCCACTTTTACTTTGCCTTGGAACCAAAGTCTCTCTTTTTCCCTTTGCTGCAGCACACAAGATGGCCATCTTCCCCATTACTCCATCAAGACTTGACTTCCAAGTACCCTTTTTAATATTTCAACATAACATATATATATATATATATCATCAATGTCTAACATGTCCTATGTATTTACATATTTAATACCTAAAAGTTTATATAATATTTGGTCGTGTGAATGACATGGCTCATTGTTACGGCCTCTGATGTAAGTCCCTCAGGCCGGGGATTCGAATCCCGTGGTGTGAGCTCTTCGAATCAGGAGTAAGCACATCAAAGTTTTCAACCCTTTGGGAGAATCGATATTTTGCCGCCCACTGGACCAAATATCGAAACACTGCCTTTTTTGTGTCTATTATATTTACTAAATTTACAAAAATAAAAATTAAGTCCCAAAATGTAAATAACAAAATTACAAATTTATAGGCTAATTGTACTCAAACTCTTTAAAATTAGGTATGCTATGCATTCCCTATTTAAATATTCATTTTTTTATATATAAAAAATTAAAGCTTTATATTTTACAAATAATATATTGCATCTTAAACACTTCTATTTACAAAAATACTCACCATTTTGCACCATTTCTTTAAATTTTCACTCAAATAATAAAATTTACAATAGAATATCACTTATATTTTTCATTTTTACCCAATTCCCTATAGTTTCATGATGACACATGCAAGCACATGAGTTTATAGAAAAAAAAAATAATAATGGTCCCAAAATGTAAATAACAAAATTACAAATTTATATGCTAATTGCACTCAAACTCATTAAAATTAGGTATGCTATTTACAAAAAATTAAAGCTTTATATTTTACTAATAATATATTACATCTTGAACACTGCTATTTACAAAAATACTCACCATTTTGCACCATTTCTTTAAATTCTCACTCAAATATTAAAATTTACAATAAAATATCACTTATATTTGTTTTTTTTAGCCAATTCCCAATAGTTTCATCATGACACATGCAAGCACATGAGTTTATAGTACAAAAAAAAAATAATAAATTTATAAATAGTAATATTTTGAGGGTGCAATAAATGTAATTATCCCTTATATTTAAATCATCATGACAAGTAAAAAAAAATTAGACTTTACACACACCCTACCTTGTCCTATTTTTTTTAAATATCTTTTGAGGATATGTTTGGGGCAGCTGCGCGGCTTATTGAATAATTTGCTGATAAGTTGATTAAAAATAATCTGCTGATAAGCTAGGCGCGGTAGCTATTATAATTTTTTTAAAAATACTCACCATTTTGCACCATTTCTTTAAATTCTCACTCAAATATTAAAATTTACAATAAAATATCACTTATATTTGTTTTTTTTAGCCAATTCCCAATAGTTTCATCATGACACATGCAAGCACATGAGTTTATAGTACAAAAAAAAAATAATAAATTTATAAATAGTAATATTTTGAGGGTGCAATAAATGTAATTATCCCTTATATTTAATTCATCATGACAAGTAAAAAAAAATTAGACTTTACACACACTCTACCTTGTCCTATTTAAGCTAGGCGCGGTAGTTATTATAAATTTTTCATTTTTTTTGGAAAAGCCAAACCCAGCCAGAAAGCTGCCATCGCACCTAGACAGGTGTGTGAAATCATTATTTTCAACGTTTTGAAAATGCATAAACTGCCAAAACGTAGTTTACCCAAACAGACCAGGTGCATTTTCAAAACGCCACCGCATCAAATAACCTGCCCCAAACGGACTCTAAGTCATAAAATAATTCCCAATTATTTACATAAGATATAGGATCTTCTTAGTCTCAAGAGTTTATAGAAATATCAAAATAATCGCTGAATAATTTCAAACGGGCCCTAATAGTCCTCCATGCGAATTATTTCAGCCTCATTTGAATGTGTCTTGAAACTATTTTGACTCTTCTATAAACCCTTGGTTTAAGAGCGTGTTTCACATTTTTTTTTCAGTTTGAGAAAATTACGTTTCGCTTGTTTTTTCAAAAAACTTACAACTGAAGGCTGCATTTTGTCACCGGACTTAGGCTAAGTGCGGTGTCTGCTAGATAACTGTAGTTTGAATTTTTTTAAAAAAGTTATAATATGAATCATAGTTTTTTTTATCAACAACTTCTTCGACAATTGTATCTTCAAATAGCTGCAGCTGTCCTAAATAGACCTTAAAAGTGTGCTCATGTATCTTTTGTTGGAAGATAAAAGAGAGGCATTTAGATATGCTGTAAAGAGAGAATGTTTCAGAACTCTCTAAACATTCTCCAACGATAGAGATAGAAAGAGAGAGAGAGAGAGAGAGAGATGCAGGGAGTAGAGAGAGAACAGCAGCGGCGGGGTGTGAAGGATTGTGGGCAGATTGATGGCGAAGTGAGAGAAAATGAAGAGAGAGAAGAGGAGGAAATGCAGAGATCAGCACTCTCTGTGTTCAGAGCCAAGGAAGAAGAGATTGAGAGGAAGAGAACAGAGGTTAGAGAGAGAGTTTTCTCTCAGCTGGGCAGAGTTGAGAAGGAATCCAAACGTTTGGCAGAAATCCGAGCCGTAAGTTCAGCTTTTTATTCAATTTATTTTATTTTTAATTCCTATTTTATCATTGTAAATTATATGAGGGCTGTCAAAATGGCTTGTTGTTGGTGAATAAGACATGTTCGATTCGTTACGAAACTTGTCTTCGATTCGTTTGTTAAGCTCTGAACACAAATAATTTTCTTGAGCTCGATCTATAAACAAGCCAAACGCGAACTAAGATTTCTTCGTTCATGTTCGACTCGTTTTGACTCGAAACAACTGCATGATTAAGGTAGTCAAAATGACTCTTTGTTCGCGAACAACTCGTGTTCGGTTCGCTAAACAAACAAGCCGAACACGAACAATAGTATTTTTTTAACAAGCGGGACATGAGTCCAGCATGAGCTTGTTCGTGTTCGGCTCATTTACACCCCTAATTACCTATCCTGCATAAATTTACAAAATAGTCTTATTTTCTAATGAAATTGCACAAATGAAAGGAGCTTGAAGGAATGGCTGATCCCACCAGAAGGGAAGTTGCAGCACTTAGGAAGAAGATTGACACAGTGAATCACCAGCTGAAGCCACTTGGACACAACTGCTTGAAGAAGGTTTAACTATTGCTGATTATTTTTAATTAATAAATATTAATAATTTAATTATTTTTTTATTTTATTTTAGTTGTGAATATATTTTTTTTATCATGTTTTTAATTGCCTTTTTAATTATTTAAGGAGAAGGAATATAAAGATGCTGTTGATGCATTCAATGAGAAGAATATGGAGAAGGCTCAATTAGTCAATAGATTAATGGAGGTAAGTTTTTTTTATATATAATTTTGTATATATAGCAAAATTGAAATTGTGCCGCATATCCTGGTCTGTTAGTTGGTTTTCACGGTATAAGACCTCTGAGCTCAGGGGTTTGAATCCCCTCTGACACAGTTGAGCTTAAGGAGGTGATACTCGACTTGTTAGACACATTATGGGTGGCTGGAAGCTGTATAATAGCTTCTGGCCATTTCTTTATATATATATATATATTAGCACACTTTAATCACTTAAACATGTGCATGTCATATATGGAGTCAATTTTAAATTAAACTAAGCTTATTATGGGCCAGAGTAAGAGCATCAGTTAGATTTTGACTTTAATAAAATTTGAGCGGTTATTGTATTAGTTTGAAGTTTTGAACATAATTACTAGCACTACTACTAGACATAAGTCTTTGATGAATTTGCCTAATTAAAATCCTCTACAAACCATAGATTTCACGTTCAATTGTCAAGGGAGATGTTGCAGGGAATCAGGTTCCGTTAGAAGTTCATGTACTTGACAACTTGAATGGGGTAGACAAAGATAAAAAATCTTATAAAATTAGATATTAGATTACTACATTCGATGTGTATTGTTTGGTTTGACTATTCATGTTTATGTAACTTGATTGATGCATTTATGCGTTGTAAAATAGTGAGATTTGTTTGGAATTATCCATATGAAGCTTTTGGTTCATAGAAATGTCTTAAAATAAGTTGTGAAAGTCGTCATTAAATCAAGTTTGGGTCCGAATTAGGTTTGACTAAAGATTAATAGGGTCACATGACTCACTTAACTCGTTTCACATAAGAACAAATATTTGATCTGTTCGGGTCAAGCTAAATCTGATCAAATAACTTAAATAGGTTGAGAATATTTTTGAAAAGGCAGAAGAGAAGGATCAAAATCTTAATCACGATGACGGTTATAACTGATACGAGATCACAATCAAAATGATGGTCTGGGTTGGTATCGTCAGCTTTGTAATGTTGTTGGTTGCAAGGTCATGAGAGTGAGAAAATATTCCATCCGGACACCGCACATCCGGAAGACCAACCATTGGCGGCCACGTGACGGTTATAACTGATACGAGATCACAATCAAAATGATGGTCTGAGTTGGTATCGTCAGCTTTGTAATGTTGTTGGTTGAAAGGTCATGAGCATGAGAAAATATTTCATCCGAATACCGCACATCCAGAAGACCAACCATTGGCGGCCACATTGCCATACACGTCATCGGTCAGCGATGTGGCGGCCAACGGGTGGTCTTCCCAACAGAATATTTTTTCCAT